GGCGACACCGTGTCATCTCCTCGGGGCTCCGCAGCTCCGCGAGATACCGCTCGAGCAGGGACTCTGGAAAAGCAACGGAGGCCGGGGGTGAGCCGCCGCCCCGCCACTGCCGCTGCCCGCACCTCTCCGCAAGCAGGTGCCAGGTGGTGCTTCCTAAGGACAGGGCTGAGCTGGGGGCCACGTGCCGACCCCCAGAGGGGCTCCCCACACGGAGCACACGCAGTGGCCTGGGGTCCTGCCGACCTCAGGGCTGGGACGGAGGACGAGGCCCGCAGGGTGTGTCCCCTCCCTGATGTCCCTCAGGCTGGGCACACGCTGTGTCAGGAGCAAGACAAACACAAAAGGAGAAGCCAGGCTGGGACAGACCGGGAGCCTAGGAGTGACGCGACAGCCCAGGCCGGCCCATGGCCAGTCCGCCACCACCACAGGTGCTGGCCGCTGCCGCCCTAACCCGGCGAGGGCCTTATGAGGCGTGGAACCTCAATAGTGTGTCCCCCCGACCTCGGCAGCACAGAGGAATACATCGGGAGCCCGGCCACACACCAGTGTGGGCTCCCCAGGGGTGACCTCGCGCCCGGGCGTCACCGCCACAGGCTGATTCAAGACAGCTTCTCCTCATATTCCAAGCGACAAGACGCGGCTCCTACCTTCGTAGGCAGTAAGTAAAACACGACCTTACTCCAATTTTAAACAGAGACTCAACATAAAACGAGGGTACTGTCTGAACTGTCTGAAGTCGGGGCGTGGAGACATCACTCATTTAGGAGTCTGGCAAAGGGTCAAGCTACAGGGCATTCTCTTCTTTCCCTCCTTTTTTAAATCTGTCAGAGGATATGTGTCCTCACCAGGGAGACGCAGAGAAAGAGGGGGCGTGCGGTTCGGGGCATGCACGCCCACGTGCCCAGTCTCATTCAAGCTGCTGGACTCGACCTGCAGGTGTCAGCCAGGTGGGGTCCAACTGCCTTAACCCTCAGGGCGTGGAGCTGGCTTGATTATGTCCCTATTTTTATAAAATTACAGAACGTAGAATCGGGCTAGGTGTTTTGTTATACACTTATAGTCCAAAGTAGTGCTTTATAGGCTTTTTTCAATTGTTTGCTTTGATTTGATTTTTCATTGTATTTTACTATTTCTTTTCTTTCCTTTTTTTTTTTTTTTGGAGAGGTTTTTGCTATAGGTCGCATGTACTCACCAGACAGACAGAGAGAGACAGACAGACAGAAAGAGAGAAATCACCCCCCAGGGGGGCTGGTCTTGCCACAATCCCTTCTCCTCCATTCTCCTCTTGGGGTCTTGGGCACGCACGCACACGCGCCCGGCATGAGTTTAAGCCACCAGGTCCAAGACTCGAACCATGGTCGACTACATGGGAGTCCAGCAGTGTAGCCAACCATTAGGGCATCTGCTGGTCCCTTATTATTATATTTTTAATCTGATGTAGGGCATGTGTGCTCACCAGAGAGCAAGCGAGAGAAAGAAAGAAAGCGAGAAAATAAGCTGCCAGTTCTGGGACTCGAACCACGGTCGGCCAAGTGGAAATCCAGTGCTTTAACCACCATGCCATCCACTGGCCCCTCCTAGACTTCTGATGTGTTTACCACACACACAGAAGGGACGGCCAGGCTCCTGATGGAGATGTGCCATTTCCAGGTGTGAAAGACAGCCCTCCTGACCCTGCTCACAGACGGCATCAACACAGCCAGAGCGGTGCGGGCGGCCCAGCCAAGGTACTGCTCGGGGCCACCACAGGCGTGGACATGCCTGCTCCACCTCAGTCACGTAAAGGGGCACAGAGAGCACACGGCACCCACACTGAAGAACATGTCCACAGCGCACACGGGCTTCTGAGAGCACACGTGTGGCCACAGCGACCGCTCACAGAGAAGCCGGGAAAGTCGCAGCGGTGAGGAGAGCGGGGTCGACGCAGGCAGGAAGAGGACGCGTCATGGGGACAAACGAGCAGCAGGAGAGAGGGGACACCCAGCACAGAGTGGCTTAGAGCTGGATGTGACACCCGGAGAACTGGGGACGGGCTCCGACAAACGCATGGGGACCTTGAGAGCAGAACCGGGGAGCCATCTCCCTTGAGTGCCCAGGGGGAGTGCCGCGTGTGCAGGAGAGCGGCCCGCAGGGCAGCGCCACCTCCCTCCCACGCTGATGGCGCGGGGCGCTGGACGAGGCCCCGTGCGCCATGCCCCAGGGCCCTGGGTAGCGTGGCCACACCGGCAGAGTTGGGCAGACAGCCTTGTGGGGCCCAGAGCCCTCCTGCTCAGCCCACGCCCGTCCATTGGCCGGTGAAGTTAACTCCAGCCTGGGCCCTCGTCCGCTCCCGCTCCCTGCCACCCCCGCAGCCTCCCAGGAGGGCCTGCCCAGCAGCACTCACCCTGCACAACGGGGTCTGCCTGCCCCTGCTCTGTGCTGTAGTACTCCCTGCAGAGGGCGGCCAGGGCCGAGACAGCTGCGTCCTGAAACAAGGGGACCGTGAGTGGCACGGCTCTGCCCGGGCAGGCGCTGGGCCGGCCCCCTGCCCAGGCAGCGGCTATGTTCCAGACGAAGAGCACAGACAGGAAGGAAGTGAGCTCCTCCCAGCGCGCCCCGGCCCCCCATCGGAAGCTCCCACCACTCCCACATTTTCTGCACCTAAGGGACTGAAGGCCGGCCGTCTCTCCAGTGCGAGCTCCATGGCTCCTGGTACAAATCGGAGCCTAAACACGGAGCGCTCGCTGCTTTCCTGGAGCCGTGCCCCGGACGTCACGTGGAGAAGGGCGCGCAGGGCCCAGGGCGCCGGACAGGAGTTCCAGGCCATACCGTGAGCCCCTCGGGACCACGCTGAGCTCCACAGAGCAGGGCCGCTCCCACCTACGCAGGGCTCGGGGAAACCCACTTGGCGGAAGTCGGCCGTGACCAGCCGAGGACAGCGGAGCCCAGGGAGGGCCTCACCGTAGAGGACCACACGGCTCGGAGGCCTCACGTGCATGAACTGGGCCAAACTATGCCATGATCACCATTGGGGGAATCAACCATGGCTATTTTCTTTCTTTTATTTATATATTTATTTTAAATTTAACTTTATTTATTTTAATTTGACCAGAGACGGACAGAGAGAGAGAGCAGGCGCACGATTAGCCAAATCCGGGACAGGAACTGTGGTCAGCCACGTGGGGGTCCCACGCCCTTGACCACCGCGTCACCTGCCGGCCCTGTGGCTCTTTTCTTCCTAAAGAAGATTCTGAGGCACTGAGGCTGCCGTTCACCTTGAGAAGCGGCTTGTCCCCCACAGAATGGCAAGGCCATGAAGGGAAGCGCAGACGGGTGTGCAGGTGGGCCGTGAGCCCAGAAATGGCGAGCTGCGGGTGGTGGCCATGACAGACCACACGCAAGGCCCCTCTGCTCTTCAGCCTGTCGAGCCTCGGCAACACCAGAGGCCTCCTGCAGCCCCGCGCTCGCTCACTGGCACGGAGCTGCCACTGTGGTATGCCTGCACGGGGTCCCAGCTGCTCCTTCCTCACCTGCACGGAGGGCCATAAAAGGGTGTCCCAAGCCCGAAGCCCTACAGCCCAACAGGACGTGAAGTTCAACTGGGCAGCAGCTGTCACGGTGTACAGAAAAAACGCTTTCAAAGGGAATGTAACAGTGACCAAAAATTAAACCTCCCAGTCACAAACGGCCACTTGGGCTTCTAGCTGTAGCTCACGCAGCCACGTGGCCTGGAGTTCCAGATACGGCAGTTACCAGTTAGGCGGGAGTGTACAGCAGGGCTCGTTGGCTCCGCTCTCGGACACACGCACGCACACGACTGCGCGCCCCCTGCAGTGGCGCGGGGACGCTGGCCACGTACCTTGATCTGTTGTCTAGCATGACCCGAAACCAGGTGCAGCCTTCTGAGAGTGTCGTCTATCAGCCACTGCCAGCCGTCTGTCAGAGGAGATGAAGCAATTAAGAATATGTATTCGAAATCCAAAACAAACATATCTTCTCCTAAATCTTAAACCAAAATAGATGGAAACCTGGGACCAGCAGTTAGCATAACGGCTATGTCGCTGGACTCCCACATAGTCGACCGCGGTTCGTGTCCAGGACCCGGTGGCTTAAAACTCACGCCGGGCACATGTGCGTGCATGCCCAAGATCCCGAGAGGAGAATGGAGGAGAAGGGATTGCGGCGTGGCCATCCCCCCTGGGGGGTGATTTCTTGCTTTCTGTCTCTCTGTCTCTCTCTGTCTGTCTGGCGAGCGCACGT